AGAGCGTCGTACGACGCAAATCGGATGCAGTGTGAATCCAGCATATGTCTTTGGTGTGAACACAGTGACGTCATAGTTACGTAGCACTCACGGTGCTCAGATTGCCCCTAGATGAAAGGTACGGCACCGTGAGCATCATGAGGCCTGTTCTTTTTGGCTGAACTTTTGTACCAGTTCATCTTTCTTCCTTTTCTCTCCAGGAGTAAAGAAGAGGAAGAAAGATGAACTGGTGCAAAAGTTCAGCCAAAAAGAACAGGCCTATGGTTACGTAACGTCAGAAATGCGGGAAAAATAACGGTTTCGAACATTTTAGAAAGAAGCTGAACACGATAAGACGTAATATTCAGTTGCAAGTAGTTACACAAATATGTTACATAGTGCTAAAATTCACAACTACAAGAAGAAATTATAACCCCAAATAAAGTATAATAAAGTTCGGAAATTTTTTTTACGATGTCAGATCAGACATTTTGTAATATTTTATAATAAACATTTGACTTGTATATAATAGAAAAGATTAAGAATAAACGTAGAAATAAATATTAAATATTAGAATTAAAAAATTAGGAAATGAATACGTAAATGATTAATGGAGATATATACAAATAGGATATGAGACATATTATACATATTTTGTGAATCATATTTTATTAATTGTATTTATTGTGCGTTACGTTTAATCTCTATTCCTAATTTTTTCTTTTTCTAGTATTTAATATTTACTCCTATTCTTGATATTAGGGGAAAGTGGGGGAACTGTGCGCAGGGAGTAATTGTGCGCATCCTAGTTTGGTACTTTTCCAATAGGGCTACGTTCGGAAATATCACCCAAGTGCTCCCACATATCGTATTACCTTTGTTGTTCACTCAGTGTTAAACAAGGATAAGATGATACACGGAGACACCCGGGTGATATTTTCGAACGCAGTCTAGATGAAGACATCACTGTGGTGAAATTTTTACGCAGGAAGTCGTCCTCTTAAGATATAACTACAAAAGATACCACGTAAATACATCGCTAGCCAGAGAAATACAAAAAAGTGAAATTACATCTTTTCTTGTTATTTTAGCATTCAGAAAATAAGGTGGTAAGTCCGTATTTTTAATTGGTTTGTTTAAAATTGTATACGTTATTAAAGTATATTATTATATGCATCTTTTGAGCTGTTATTTATTAAGTTTGGTTAGGAATTGTTGAAGTAATCGTATTTCGTACCGAGTCAGGTCGCGGCAGATAATTGTGCGCAAGCGTTTTAAAATGCGCACAATTACCCATCTTCCATATACTGTATGAATAGCACTAGTTTTTTCGTTTCTTTTTGGCATTACTATTTTATTTTAGCATTTCATTTTGCCAAAGTCTATGTGCATTATTATTATATTAGTTTTGTATTTTTTCTTAATATATATAATGTACAGTTTAATATATATTTATATTGCAATATAATGAATGTATGTTCTGATTTCTATGTCAACATTCCACAATTCATTCATTTCTTACGACTTTTGTTTTGCGCATAATTACCCGACGCGCGAGAAATTTTTTCGCTTTTTCGTTTTTTTCCTTTTTGCCAAATACAACCTTATTGAATGAAAATTTATGCAAGATAAAAATACGTAATGGTAGAAGAATGTTTATAGTTTCTATTTGCATACTTATATCGCTTTGAACTAAAGTCATAGAGAATGGACTGCGTGATCCGTACTAAGTAGTGTATCAAATGTGGTCGACAATAATGAGAGAGAGGGACCGTGGGAGACGACCAAACTCCCTCTCATTCTCTTTCCCATTACACTATTGAATGGAAAGAGATAGAATTGGCCGTCTGCCACGGTCCTTCTCTCTCATCTCTATCGACCATTTTGACACACGGATCGCGCAGTCCATTCTCTATGTCTTTGCTTTGAACTTAGAAAACCATCCCAAGAAAATAAATATCTCTTACATGAGCACAATTCACCCACTTTCCCCTATTTCTTCTATTATGCGAACCATATACAGACGCTTTCAGTATCAGTTACGTTTTCCCACTTATAAACAATTACCACCTAAACTTCTTTCTCTTTTTATCCTTTTTTCGCTCTGTCAAAATTCCTCGCAAAACTCACTAGATTTATTCGCATCACATTCCAAAGAATGCGTTGAAGTGAGTAAGAGCTATTATAGAAGCATATTGGAGCATAGAGCATGCGACGCGAATAAACCTACTATTGCAATGAAATAATTTAAACTTTATGAAAATTAATAAAAATAAATTGTAAATACATTGAAAAATAAAGAAAAACTATTAAAAAATTAGGAAAAATATTTAATTAACTTAAAAATGTATTTGTATAAAGAAATTATGTAATTATGTCCGAGTTCTCGTTCGGATGATAATTATTGTAGTCGCGCTCCAGCGCGCCTAATCCAACAGGGTTTTAGAGAAGGAAAAAACCTTCCCTGCGCAGGCGCGGCGCCTTGTGTCGCCGCTCGCCGCCATTACCTCCATTGTGTTTCCTGTTGCGTCACCAACAGTTCGCGTAGTGGTTTACTGAATATATTCATTCGTTTTGACTGGTATTATCCTTCGAGATGCCTCGAAACTGGCACAAAAGCCGCTCTAGGTCCCCTAGGAGATCATTCAAAGCCCACAGGGCTCGATCCCGTTCCCGGTATCGCGATCGTTCTTCAAGAGCGCGCTCGCGGGGTGAATCTCGAAGCCGTTCGAGACGGTTCTCGCGAAGTGCATCGCTACAATCCGGGGCTTCACTCACGACAGTCATCCAGGAATCCACGATACTGGAAAAATTGATTCATCTCGTCGAGGATCAGGCAAAGCGCCTAGACAAAATTGAGGTTAGGTTGCCCGGCGCTAGACAACATTCGACTCTTTCAACGCCGCAGTTCCATCGAGCGTCTCAGCCATCGGAGGAACCGACGGTTTCCCTAAACCGAGGCTCTGTACCAGGTATGCCCCCTCCGCGACCCCTTGTGCGCGCTGCGACATCGGCATAGAGAGGGCTAATCCGACGTGTTCCTCCAAGGCACTCTCTCTCTAAGGTACCACTTTCTCTTTAGATTCTCCTACGGAGAGCTCCGCCACTGTTTCCTTCGCCATAAATCAGGCTGACGAGCCGGAGGTCCATTCTCGCTCGCATCGAAGTGGTTCGGGCCCAAAGGTGACACGAGCGAGGATTTTTCCTGGGACCCACAGATGCTCAAATCCACCAAGGACACGGTCCATTCTGGCTTAAACCCCAAAGAACGGAAAAGCTTGCTGGCCACATACGAGGTGAAAAAGGACCTAGTCACGCTAGGAGCCCAAAAACTGAATAAGGTTATCTTAGCAACGCAAGGCCCAAACTCCTCCGTCCTGAAAAGGGATGAGCACCAAGTTGCCTCACAGTCGCAGGTTGCTGCCTACCTGAACGCTCTAGGCACTGGTCTATCCGCTCTCATGACTTTGGAGCCACCACTTCCAGAATCGGCGGAGAAGGCCATCGGTCAGATGGCCCACGCGGCGCTATTGTTGGCAGATTTACAACACCGGCTGTCGCTACACAG